ATGGTATCACACGTGACTATTCACCTTCTCCAGTCATTCTCAATAATATTTGTATTCTATTAAAATACGGCATGATTCCTGTGAATTTCCAAACAACCACCTACTTCACTTGAAGAATGACGACAATACTCAGAAATAATTTAAAACCACAGTTACTCGGCAGAATACTTCAATAACAGTACTGTATACACTGCTGTGCCATTCTCACAGTGGCCATTTCGCATAGGCTTACGATATCGGATCATTAGCTACCGTATACGCTCATATCGTACCATATTAGCCAATATCTACTGTATTCTCGAGCGTGTATGCATAATACGTCGTTGTTGCTGTTGAATAAATCAACATAGTACTCGTTCTGAATACCTACTCATCACTGCTGGGCTGTACTGTAGAGTACGATAATGTACACAGCATTACAGTAACCTTCAACTGCACACGCTTATCTTACGCACTCCATATGTAGCGCGAGCGATAAAACAGTTGTATCGCAATAGCAATTGCTTAAATAAGGAATTAATAATCAACTTTTCATGATCTCAATTGCATATCCGAACATGAGCTTAGGCTCAAAATATTGACCATAATATTACAATAACACATCTGAAGTATTACAGTCAATCTGTTTTTTGCTAGCAATGGTGAACGATTCTGCAGTACAACTGCCTATTGATGGATCATTGAGCTCTATTTAATCTCATCATCCAAACTTTGAATCAATTCTAACGTTTCCTTTGAATCAAAACCATATAAAGACAGGCAGATAACTGAAGGAAATCCAGCCACTTATATCACTTCGAAAATTTCACAATATATCATCAACTGAATTCCTTAAGGCTGTGTTCACGCGCACTCAGCAACATTCTCCACTAACATCGACAGATCTGTTTTAAACGTGAAGGATTTCAGCACCGATATTTCACTTGTATTGAGATTTGAAGTGAAGATGTAATAAGACTATGCGCATGTCTATTTCATAGGATGATAAACACAAGTAAGTCGCAGGAGAGCGCAAATTGCATAGAAATGATCGACATACTCAATTACAAACTATGTCTTCGAATCATTTACATGCTCACATTCCTTCACAACGCCTTTGCAGAGCGATCGATGGGTCTGAGAATGAATCAGTTGAGGTTGTGAAGTAATAATGAAAAAATTTTGAAGTTGCTTCACTGCGGCCCTATAGATCGGAACGTTACACAATAGTATTGTCTGTCATTGATATCTGCAGTACTTGAGCATTCTCAGATACTAATCCAAAACTCGAAACAAACGCATGACCGAAACATTGCAATAGCACACATAAATATTACTCATGGCATGCGAGACGAGTCCGTATCAATACGATAAAGTTCCTAATCAGACGAATCGAATCGAAATCGCTCACTTACCTTTAATCGACCCACGAGAACAATCAACGACGACAACAACAACTCAAACTCACTTACCTGCTAAAGCGATGCTATCGTCAACATTCACACTCTATGTTCCTGTATGAAATGAGTTCAAAACGAAAACTTCTCAATAACAATGGCACAACAATTTTAATGCATAATAATATTTCTTGTTTGCATTGCTATTTTATTCAATCCGTATTGCATTAAATCTGCATTAAGTCTTGCTGTTCATGATATAGTAATATCATTGTCCTTTGACGTGCATCTTCCCCTCGACTTCCATTACATATTAATCAATCAGGTTGTCTTGAATGATTCACGATTAGATCGGAATCCCATTCGAATCGTTGCATCAGACATACTCTCAGCAGTTTTTCGCTATCGGTAGCCAAACAGCTCCACTTAACAAGATATCATATTGGCTCCGTTCAGAAACCCATAGCCTGCGGTCTTTCACTTTCTTCAATTATTGCGTATCCATGCAACATGTGAATATACCTAATTTTCATAGAATATTATGGAAACCTCTAATTCTGCTGAAAATGAACAATCACGACCAAGGAACAAACAGAGACCGATATCAGTTCGTCAGATATTTCGCGAACTATTCAGATTATCAGCTGGGAATCTCCAAAATCAATTTCCAAATACTCAACAGTTTTGCCACACTTAAAATGACGATGATCTATACTGCGGGTATCATATAAGTAGTTGATACCATCAATATGTGATAATGAGAAGAAGCAGTTCAGAAATCAAGATATCATTGAGACGACGTTCAACAATTTCACCGCATTCAGAAATCCAAAATTCTTTTGTAAACGGATATACGATCTCGCGTCTAGATGACAGAAATATGTTGGTTCCATTCGGTGCTTATTTCTGATGAATGAAATGAGTTTGAAGGAGGTGACAACGTTTTGAAATTCTCCTATGTAAATGGCAAAAGCAAACCTAACGTATAGATGCAAGATATCACAAAAATATGTGCAAATCCCACATTATTAGACAACAGAATTCTTCTGCTCATCTGAGATTAAACTAATCTCAGAAGACAACAGCAATACAAACCGATATCATTCGTTATCAAAACTCATGCACGAAAAAAACAGAAATTCATTTAAAATGCGTTCAAAATCAAAATGTTTTCTGTCTTAATTATAGTTCATCCACTCACTACACCATATACAAAACCCATCACATCATTTAATCAGATTCAATTTTTCAGCGAATTCGAAACATTTTTCAGAGACAAACAAACACTAACCTTTCACGACGTATCATGCATACACAAACTAAATCTGAACATACCGTTCAAACTCTTAGGGAAACTCTTAAGTACACAATAAACTTACCGTCATATTCATCTGAAATACCCAATCATACCTAACGATATTCCACAAAATTCAAAACCAAATCAATTTCTCCTCCATAAACTTACATAAACGTTTTCATACGAGCCTCATCCAACGCCTCGGCTAGTTTGTGTTGATGCTGTTCAAGTTTTTGAGTTAATCTGAATCATATCCAATATCAATCGCAATTTTACTACAAATATACGCAAATACTCTTCATATCAAAAGATTCAAAATGGACATGTCATAAGCTGTAAAACAAATATATACTATTATAATTACTAAACATTTGTCACTCACCTCGGATCACGAATCGTCTTCAAAACCTCATTCACATCCGCACCAAATTCCAACAACAAATATATCGCACGTATCGCGTTCGGATCCTTGCATTCGATCGCGTAATGCAACGGCGTTTTCTTTTTCGCATCGAATGTGTTCACCGGAGATCTCAACAACCAAACCAATAATAACAACTAAAAACTAACAAATCACAACTAAAATAAAATACCTCAGATGTAACAAAGTTCTGACAAGGCACCACGACCCGTTCTCAATAGCTGCATGCAGAGGTGTCTTCAGATTGTGCTCTTCCGGAATGTCCAGCCTTGCACCTCCCATTACTAACACTCGCAACATATCGTCATTGATATGCGCCGAAGTACGCGTATTACATTTCCTTTCACAGATCTGAAATCTTACCAATATTATCAACACCAAATTCATTACCACTCATAAATACAACAAAATATAAAACACTCTCAACTGCCTATCTACGAGTATGTGAGTTAACAACATCAATCTAAAGACTTTGCTTACAAAAAAAACAATCAAATAGCAGCTCTTTACATTATTCCCTTACCACTCTTGAATCAACTAAATTTATCACAAAAACTGAATGAAATAAAATAATTTCATAAGCGAATCCTAATAAACACACCTCATATGCGAGTGTTTTACCATGAAAACACTGATTAAAATCGAAGCCACGCTTCTCCTGTGGACATCTGGCTGTCCAACGTACTGCATTAACACGACCATTCAGCACTGCATTGCGCAAAGCCTCAAAAATTTCAAACTGCTAAATGAAACTTACTCAAAACAAAACGATCACACAAGTAAATAAAGAAACGAAACAAATAATGAATCAATGTAAAATCAACGATGAGTTCAATGCTAAAACAATATGGAAAGAACTCTTTTCACAATACCATAAAGCTTTTCAATGGTTCTTCACGATTCCTGAATTGATTCCGAAATTCCATTGCCTCAATTTGTTGAATCGGTTCGAGTGAGACGGGCAACGGCAACGAGGCTATCGCCAGTGCACGATAGTCCGTATACTCTGAAGAGGCCGACGGTGTTGATGACGATGTGGATGAGGACTGCCCAGGCTGATCAGTCAGGCTCTGATTTTGCGGTGCGATCGGCTGGGCAGAGCTGCTCTGTTTGGGGATTTGGTTGGAGGTTTGGAGCGTCTGGGTGGCGGGTTGAGGTGCTGCTGTTTGCGGAGTCCGAATGGAAGGCTGAACGCTCCTCGTAGCAGAAACAGCAGATGTCGACGGTTGGCATGACGATAACGATACCCAACCGCCCTTAACTGTCGACTGTCTCTTCGCCGATGTCGTCGATGCAGAAGCTGCTGCAGCTACCTGCTGAAAATTTACCAACTGCACCTCTCCACTTTAAGAAGAACAGTCTACTGGGTCGAGCCGTTCAATCCAATCATAACATTCACCTTCGAAGAAGGACTTTTACAAAGTTTCTTAAAACTAAACATACCTGAGTGGATGAAGTCTGCAGATTTGTCGATACTGCGCTCCGATTGTCCATTGATTTTTGCTCGCCTTCTTTATCTCCACTATTACCCTCATTTGTTGACGACAGTTGCCCTTGCTCTTTCGTGTCCGAACTCGAACTAGGCACTGAACTCAACTTCTCGACTACACATTCATTAGCACTATTATTATTATTATTAGTACTGCTGTGGACATCAGATTCATTTTGTATCGCCGCCATTTCACTCGAATTGCCATTGTTGTTACTGCTATTGACCGAACAACCATCCATCGATGAATCTTGTCCAATAGCAATCGAATTATTGCTGTTTCCACTGCTGCTATCATTACCACTATTATTCTGTGCGTCATCACACACAACTCCGTTCTCCTCTTCTTTTGCCAATTTTTTTCGTCGACCAACTTTAGGATTCCTCTTCCTTCTGTTCACTGCAGACGATGACTGGGCAGCTTTCCGACCCTTCTGAGTACCTCGTCGACCTTTCGATACCCCCTTCGGCCCTTTCTCACCGTCTTGTTCTGTCTCCGGCTCCTGTTTGATTTCCATTTTGATGGTTGCCTCTTCAAGTTCATGTCCATTCGATTCGCCACCATTCACTTCCAATTGTTCTGCTTTGATTCTTGTTTGTTCTTTTTCTTGTGCTTGCTGTTCATTCGAACCAACATTGCTGCCATCACAAGAATTCTCATAGCTTTTGCCAGAATCCGCAACATTTTTATCAATACCCTCAGCATTAGTTCTATCATTATCTTCTGAATCATTCACAACACCCTTAACGTTTTCAAGATCTCTATCTGAATCCTCTGTTTTTGCAATTGCCATCGCAGTTACAGTCATCTTATCGCTAATATTCTCACTCTTCTTATCGCTATCACAACTACGATCATCATTTGCATCTTTATTACTATCGTTATCACTCTTATTATCACTTGTTATCACCATATCAGAAGCTTCCAAAGACTCCGGCTCTAGGGATACTTCAGATGAATCTCCCTTCAATGTCTTTCGTCGTTTTGATGGTGGAGTACTGCTACAAGTCGCACGTTGCTGTCGTCGTTTACCTCTGCTCTTTCCACGAGGCGATGACGATGAGCTCCGTGCAGAATTTTCATTTTTCACACTTTTTCTTGACTTTTTTCCACTCTTCTTCACCGTTTTCTTTGTCTTTCCCACTTCGTTTGTACCAACCGATCCACCCATATCAGAATGCTCTTCATCCAGCGCTTCTTTCTCGATCGTTTCATTTGCCATTTCATTCGCATCTTGTGATGTGCCCACCAACGAATCGCTATTCTGCAATACAAAAATGGCGCAATTGTCTCTAATTTTTTCCTCCATTTCTAAATCGCTATCATTTCACTGATTACTTCTATTCCATAATGTTACTTTCATTATGTTGACCAGTACTCTTAATGTTTAATCATTATGCGTCAATATCATCATTACAATTTATCGTACTATTCAAAAACATTAACTCTAGAACACTCGCCTTCGATACCGATGGCACAACACCAGATTCATCAGTAGTATGCAAAATACCATCATCACCCTTGCTGATCCCTTCCAAAGGCGATGATTCGTCAACAATAAGCTTTTCCACTTCTTTAGCAGTCGCCTTCTAAACTTAGACAAATTGCTACTCTACGATTGGCAATAATAACTTATCATTCTAATAACACTAATGATAACGTCAGCTCGGTGTGCAAAGAACGATATCGAAATGAACAGAACATATTCCAATATCTGTTATAATTTAGTGATAACTGGAAGGCATTTATGTGACACTCCTCCTTAATTAATTATTGAATAAACTCTTCATGAGGAAGAAGAATATACAGTTGAATCTTATCACAATCTTATAAAACATTCACCTTTCTTGATCGTGTTTTCTTATTACTAGTTCGACGGGGGGTTTTTGCGTTGCTTTTAGTCGCTGCAGTTGTGGGAGGTGACGATTTGGTGGTGGAGGCGATTTGCTTTTTGTTCGGAGATGGTGACGCAGAACCAGTCTTTAGAACTGTTCGCAGTTTATTCCTTGTTACGCGACCAACATCAAAACCAATTTCACATAATACCTAAACATCTTTTCCAGTAATATTACAAATACTAACAATGAAATTATCCCAAACAAATCTCATAACAAAGTCATAACTAATGAAAATCCATCACGACTGTTCGTCTCAACATGAAGAAATTTACATTTGCATATGAGTCAAACCATCCATCCACATATAATATTCTCACCTTTTCAGTTTGTGATGGAATTCGATTCTCAACGAATAAATTCGCAATTTCACGATTCTCCAAGTCACCGAAACGATTCCACGATTCTGGTGTTAACACCTCAACGGTTTCATACGCTTCATTTGCGTCGTCTGCCTTCTCCGTCGTCGAACCGTCTTCAATCACTTCATTATTCTGCTCCTCCTGCTGCTGCTGCTCAATGATCACAGAAGATGACGTTTGGCCACAAGGCTC